GATTTCAGACTTGATAGTTGAATATAATCTCTGTAAACGAAGTACTCCTCAACACACCTAGTTAAAACTATATATAATTATCAGAATATTAGATTGACATAAATGTGTGATAATAAAGTGTTTATATTGAAAAAATTAAAAACAATTCTATTGTTCTAATTCTATCTTATATAATTTATACGAAAATCTTTTTGTATATAACATGTATGATTATGTTAAACATAGATACTGTTTGAATGGTTTTATATCATTATTTTTAGAATAATTCATTAAAACTTACTAATAAATCATCGTTTTGTTAATTAAAAATGTTTATTTAAAAAAAAAATATATCATTTTCTTCTTTACTTTCACTTGAAAATACAAGAGTACAAATTACTGTAATGTCATATACTCGTGTGCGTATGAGTATTTTTTTATTATTATTTTTATTTTACATTAATATGTCACGTATACGTCATGTCGAAGGAGATTATAAATTTTTTTTTCTTAGATTTCTTCTATTTTATTTGAAACGATTGTTTCACAAAAAATATATTCATGTAAAATACTAATACGGAAATAAATTTTTTGAAATCTTAAAGAATAATTTTTTTTTTGTAATTTTTATTTAATAATTTTTTAAAGTTTGCAATTTATATTAAAAGACGATGAAATTAGTAATAAAATATGTTATAAGAAAATTAAATACAAACAGTATTTGCGAAATGAAATCCCTTTTCGTTTTGACAAGAATTTTAAAATTCTGAATATTTAAAAATAAGTATTCTTATATACATAATACTAAAAATGATGTTAAGATTTTAGAGGAAATATTAATGCTAAATAAATATAATAATTTAGTATAATTTTTTATAATTATTAATATAATAATAAATATATAATTAAATATAAATACTCCTTGTTCTGGCTACTGAATAAAGAAATCTATTATTATGCACTAAAGCAAATTTTTATAATTATTTTTTATAATTATTTATATAATAATAAATACATAATTAAATATAAATACTCCTTGTTCCGGCTACTGAACGAAGAAATCTATTATTATGCACTTCAGCAAAATTTTTTAATGCGCTCTTATCGTAAATAAAGATTTTATGTCAGTTATAGATAAATGCCAGAAAAATATGTCCACAGGAAATGTCAACATTCACGCAAAATTTCTAAAATGTGACCCAGTATTAAAGAAGCCTGTGTGACTGTTCACAATATAAAAAATATGGGAAACCAAAGCGTTATCTAGAAGGTAATACTTTCATAAACCATTACCATCCACCGTACAACATATGTTATATAGGAGCATGAGAACATTGTGATTGAATCTCAAAAAAGGGATTCTTTCGACTGCAACTACTATAGGGGCATAACCTCGCATTCTAATCCAAGTAAATTATTTATCGAATATACGTTCTAGGGTTGTTGATATACGTAGCGTAAGCATTTTATCGTCTTTAGTGTTTTTATTTGCACTAGATAGAATAGTAGAATAGTAGTAACATAACATAAACGATTTGATATCCAATGAACGCAATACTAAAAAAAAAATTAATACCTAAAACGGAGATTTCATATATGTTTTGTCTACCTCACATATACTAATAAAATTCGCTAAAACACGCTCATCCTAAGCAATGTACAAAGACTCTCATCTGGTAACGCCATGGACCTAAATGAACTACGCGTGGCCGTTTTGGTCTACCAGCATAACCTAAAGCCTGCCACACAGTCGCGCGAACCAACCGAGTAGTCTAAATATTTGTTCGTAAACTTTTTAGAGGTTGGTCTAGAAATAAGTAATCGAATAAGTGGCATCTTGAGCAGATACAGAGTTGTATATTGGAAGGAGATATATCGCAAAGTATGCTTAATAATTCCAAAGACACAAAATGTACAAATTTATATAAAAAGTATAAAATTACTAAATCTTTCTCTTTAAATACGCATAATATTAAAATTAAGACTGACAAGTAATTTTCTATATTTGCATTCAAGAGTTTGAAAATAATTAAAATATCATAGTAAAATGAAATAAAGTAGAATAATGTATCTAGAATAATAACAATTATGGGAACATAACAAACTAAAAGTCTGTTTACAAACGAGTTTAATTAATTTGGTTATTGTCACTGCAACTTTGAACAATGCTTCAGTGTACAAAAATCAATTAACTTGCTTGAAAAAGTATATTGAATGAATTACTTGTACGTGTGTTACTAACTTCATTTCCGTCTACAGCCACTACCTACATAGATGCTGTTGTAGATACATTTTCATATTTAGTTAGCAGAACAAAATACTAAAGCCAAACCGCTTCAAGCCACATAATAACGTTACTCGATGTGCCAACCCTAACAGTATTGCATCATAGATGCAGGATACGAAGAAAATTGAAAAACCTGTCACTTTTCCATAAATGTCAAAAAATTCAAAATTCAAACGAATATATCTTGCTAAAATAAATTCGAATATCTAAGACATAAATTTTAAATTGCTTATAAATAAATTAAATTATTTTATATTTTATTTAACTACTAAAGAATAAATTACTAGTTTAAAATTTATTAGAACTAAAATTTTTCTTTAAATCATTAAGTTCGTAGGATGCTTAATAAAGGAACTCAACTGCATTCAGTAATATAATCTCCTTTAAGAGTGATACATTCTTTTCCACACTTCATTAAAGCCTTAATAAGAGACTTTGGTTCTGACATTTACTTCATCATCAAATCCAAATCCAAATCCTTTTCCCTGGAGCATTCATTTTAAGCATGCAAAATGGTAGTAATTGGTAAAAGCAAGATCAAGATAGTATTAAGATTGAAAAGAATAAAAATGCAATTCTTTAAATATTGCCCTTGTGATCGCAGGATCTGTAAAGCAGATAACATGGAATAACAAAACTGTATACATGGATTAGGATGTATATAGAGGATTGGTTGTTTAGGAGTGTGAATGGATAGGCGGAGAAATTTAGCTACTTTAATGGAGCGAATTCAAAAATTGGTTGGACTGAAGTTTGTGTGTGTATTGTGGCAGAAAAATAGATAGGCAACAATATTAGGTTAGAGCTGTAGTTATGGCACATATTCAGAATTTATGCGTTACAGTCAGATTCTGCCCATATTCTGATTTAAATTGGGCTAGGACATCACGTGCTGCACGTTGATTAGCAAAGCTGTAATTAGGGGAGCTAGAGCAAGTTGATGTTACCCTCCCTGGGTTGGATCCTATGTTAGAATGGTAGGCTGGAAAAGCACATAGGATGAGAAAAATTGAGAAAATTGATAAAAAACTCGACGACTGGTTTGTCGCAAAAGAGGAGCAGTTTCTAACATAGTATTAATAAATTACCTGGAAGATTGGCGAAATTTGTGGAAACTGATGACCAATATTTTAAATAAAAAAACAAATTTCCCTTGAAAATTATGTTTTCTTTATCAAACGAAACTTGCATACATACCCCCGGTATTAGTAATCACATATATTGGCAATCACAGTTATTGACAATAACATGGGCTTCTAACTTTATTCACTTGATTTGATACCGTTTGACTTTTACTTTTTCTGAATGAAGTATTTGAAGATGAAAGGACAACCTGGTTCATGATATAAAAGTTCTATTTGTTTTGGAAAAATAATTATGTCTTTGAGACGATTTTAGATTAATGTTATAACTTTGTATAAGATGCACTTAAATGTCGTTAAACTTAAACTTGTTTATAATGTTTTTTATTTTATACAAGATTACATTTTTAACAACTACATCTAATGGAAAAAAATTATTGAATCTTTCCTTTGTTTTTTTTTATATTAGATTAAATTTTTTACAACTATATTTAATGGAAAAAATTTATTGAATCTTTTCTTTGGAAACCAAAAACTATTTATCAAATCATGAAGCTAGTAGATTTTATTTTATGTCCTGGGGTCAAAGAATGGCCGGGTCTACGTCCCGGAGCCACTCGTCGCCATCGACACCTCTTAAGTTTTCCTGTTATACTGTTCTAGAAAATATTACATCATCACTGATTAGTTACAATGTAATAAGTAGTTTTTAAATATATTTTTGACAGAAAAATATATTTTTATGTTGAACCTTTTCCGAGTTTGTGCATCTGAACACTTTTACTCTTTGATAACTGGGGGGTTTCTGCAGTGTCCAGCCCATCTCACTGACTAATTTGTGTATTCCTCATAAGTTTCGTGATTATTCAATGACTGATCTAAGATCTGCGTACCGCCCCGTGCGGTTAATGATTACACTGAGATTAGTTAGTGCTAAGTAGGGTAGCCTGTCGGTTTTCGCATATAGTTTCAGGGCTTTGACTCTTATGTATCATATATAATGTATATATATGTATGTATATATATATATCATATATCATATATAAGACTTATAATATTATTGAGAACAATTATTGTACTATAGACAAACATTAACAATGTTAATATTAACAAATAGTTAGAGAGAGGAAATAATACCTAATGTTAATTTAATTCATATAAACTACTATTATTTGCAAAATAAAAATTGTTTTATTTATTAAAAGACACCAAACACCAAATTATTAAAGACGACGACTTCCAAAACTTAAAACAAATATTTATGTTTACAAAATAAAATGGCTCAATTTAAAGGCAAGGAAAAGACGTTAACGCAAATTCATTAAAAATTTAAACCAAACTGCACGGAACACTGTGTACACTACAAATAAAAAGCACAACAAATCATGTATTTGTTGTTTGTATGATTTGTTGTTTGTCAAGTACCTTTGCTTTATGAACGAAATTTGTGCGAGTTTCTCTTTGCTTTTATTTTTGACTCTTAATTTCTAATGCTTTTTACTTTAAGTAAAAGTAAATAAATTTTATTTGTTTATGTGTGAGTGTGAGTGGTTTGGGTTGCATGTTTGATGCATGTTTGATACCATGCTTGATGTCTAAATGTTCTATGTTGTGCGCTGTGTAGTGTATTGTATTTGTATGAAAGCACCTACCTGTTGCAGCTTCTGGTTGCACTTGTTGCTTAACAGTACCAATTATTTTATCACCACAATTTCGTTGTTGTAGAAAAGTGTGCGACGCAATTCTGTCGCTGAATGAACCAGCTGCCCCACCGTCACCGTCACCGCCACCCACACCTTCACCATCACCATCTAAATTCGTAAAACGATTTGCATGCAAGTAACTAGTTGGAGGCTTATAAAGCAAAGTAGCAGGCATAGGTGGTGGTGGTGGTGGCGGAGGTGGTGGTGGTGGCGCTAGTAGCACAGTTGGTTCAACTTTTGTTTTGTACTTTTCTAGTTCATTTTCGGCAAGTTCGGCACGTGCAATCGCCTTATGCAGTTCAGCTTCCATAATTTCCAATTTAAGTTGTAAGGTTTTTAGTTCATCGTTAGTATTTTTTTGTATAGCCGCATCCATAAGACTCTTCTACAAAGTTGGGGGTAGGGCGGAAAATTAGTAGACAAAAAAATAATAATATTAGATATATGAGAGTTAATGTCAAGTACGATTATGTTTAAGTAGGCGCACAAAAATAGCACAAAATAAATAAGCAAAATAAATTAAAAAAAAAAAAATTGTATATAAAAATAAGCAAAAATAAAGGATTTAACAGTTAAAGAGATACATTTTAACAAAACAAGCAAATTTATGAGTTCAAAGCAGTTATGGTTAGATTTTAGTTCAAAATCCTGAGCCTCGTTGGAGGATATTTGTGAGTAGCTGGGATAGGGCAACAAGCAAGCCATCGGCAATGTTATTTGCTACACTGCAAATTTGCTATTTGCAGTGGCTTAACCACAAACACCAAGTTCTGCTTACTTCTTATCAAAAACTGTTAAATTATCAGGAAAACCGGAAAAAATGTATATCAAAAATGCCTTCACCACAATTCATTAAAAAGTAGAATTAAATAAACAATTTATGTTGTGCTGTAGTTTGTTTAAGAGCTTTTGAAAATATTTTGAAATGGTTTAAAAAAACCAGAAAATCTTTTCGTGCCCTATTTATTAAAATATATAAGATTATATGCATATAAAAATATATATAAATAATTTAAAATATATAAAAAATAATTAAATATAATTAAAAAAAAATTTTTTTTAATTTTCAATTGGTTAAGTTTTATAAGACGTCATTTTTTAAGAGTAGAAGTAAGAAGAAGAAGTATTGGGAGAACAGGCTAAAACCTTTTAATTTTATTTTTTTAACAATAAGCTTTTAAAGCCTAACATTAAAGCCTAAACATACTATAATGAATTATAAAATCAATTGTAAATTATTTTAAGGGGTCTCCGAATAACTAGCCAGGGCTTATTTACCAGATATAACGGCATAAAAGTTAAATTAATCAGATGAACTTTAGGAAAGCAGGATGGCGGATATAACGGCATAAAAGTTAAATTAATCAGATTGATCTTTAGGAAAGCAGGATGGCGGGTCTATCATTTCGTTTCAGTCTACAAGAAGTTGGCATATTAGCAAGAGGTCTAGCCAGCGGATTTACATGGTTTTCAAGATTTGAAATATGTTTCTGCCTTATTAGGCTAAAACCTGTCGCGTAAAAGATATCTTCAAATGACAACTCATTGATTGTGTCATATCAGTGGGATTTTCGGCCTGGTCGCTTCACAATTAACCAGATATTTATACTGCAAGAAATTCTGACAAAAACCTACGAAGACAACAACGATTCGCATCATCTTTTTGTCGCAATGTATGAACTCGATATCCCTGCAAAGTTAATACGACTCTGCAAAATAACATTAAGTAGCACACATACCTCTATCAAGATAGGATCCAGTCTTTCCGAGTCTTTTATACCATACGAGGCTACAGACAAGTTGAATCCTCGTATCATGTAATCACCCCGTTATCATTTAATCTTTTCAATGTCGTCGTAGATGTGATCATGTGCAGTGCAGAAGTTCATTGTAATCTATAGTGCTTTATCTGTGTAATCCAGTTAATTGTTAATAAAACATTCTCTAATAATATTAGAGGAACAACAATATATCGCAATGTATGAGATCTATTGTGTAGATTCAGAAGCGGCTGAAATGTTTTCTGTGCGCAGACGAAAAACTGCGAAAAAATTGCATTAAGACATGCAAATTGATATGCGACATTATGATAGGTGAGGTGTAGAACTTCAGTTGAGCACATATTGAGAGTTGATACATTTATGCGTGAGAAGTAAACGTTAAACCCATATTATATACTATTATCCTGACCTGAATTGAACAAGGATACTTCTTGCTGCATGGTGAAGGTGTCATTTTTCTCGAAAGATAATAGATGGAAGTCTATGGGTACTTTGTTGCTATGCAACCGTGATTTTGAAGAGAAAACTGCGTTTGTTGATTTTAGCAAAAATGACGTCTTTAAACTAACTTCGTAATTCGTAATTTTTTTTTGTTTTTTTTTTTTTGTTTCTTCAATTTAGTTTTACATACCATTTCGACAATACGTTCTCCATGATCTCTGTTTTGTATTTCGACTTCCTCCTTTATTTTCTCAAATTCTTCGTTAGCTTTAATTGTGGTAGGAGAAGGACTCGGTGCAGGTAAACCATCTGGTGCATCACGCAATTTAGATGTCAAGTCATCGTTACGTTGTTTTAACTTAATAAGAGCTGCTTCCATTCTACATAAAATAATTCAGAGAAATAAAATTTAAAAAATAAGAAAAAGTATTAAAAATCGTACGTACTTTTTGCTAGTTTCAACGCTTTCCTTCATATTTTCAGTCAATAATTTAGCAACTTTAGTTAGATTTGTATTTTCTGTACGTAAATTTTCATTCTCCTCTTCTAAATGATGTTGCTATAATAATAGAAAATTATCAAAATTAAATTTTTAAATTAAAAAAATTCTTGAATTCTAACTCACGTTCTCAACTAATTCAGCAATCTTTTCATTTGCTTCATAAAGTTGTAGTTCTACAGCATTCATTGAATTCTTCAGTGTCATAAATTCATCTACTAAACGTTCGATCAGATCATTAGTTATGGGTACACTAACAGCAGACTCAACATCAATGAGGCTTTCCATTTCATTGCTATTTAAACTAGGCAAAATTTTAAGTAATTTGCCTTTAAGTGCATCCGAACTGACCATTATGTTAGGATTACTTTCCTGTTGTCTGTCCTGTAGCAAGTTTAGTTCGTTTGTTAAACTAAAATAATTTTAGAATATAAAATTTGTTAATGGGTTTAAATATGTATACAATATTAAAAATTTTATATTAGATGGTTTCTTAGTTTGCAATCTCAATGATAAGATTATATAGAATCACGATTTAAAAGTGGTGGTTTTAACACACACATAACGCTAAAAAAAATTTAAGACTATATATCTATTGTGCTATTTTCTGGATTATTTAGTTCATTTTCCACTACTTTTTAGACTATACTTCAACTCAAGAACTGCTTAAAACCATGCAAATAAGTCTTATTAATTTATTATTGTCTGTAAAAATAAAATTTAATAGAAGTTATTATAGTATACCATCGGACATTTTAATCACCTAGAAGGTGTATTTTAAATTTGAAAAATATAAAAAATAAAATATATAACACACAGTATAAGTACACACATATAATATATATTTATTATAAAACAAAATAGTATATCCATATAAGTATCGAAGAAAAGTTTTTTATAGGTGTTAATAAAGTCTATAAAACGTTAATAGGAATATTTTTACTGACAATATAACTTTATATCGGATGCTTTTCTGTTATACTAGCATAACATAGAAGAATACTTATATGCTGAAGTATTGCGAGGTTATGAGTCTTTGTTTTCTATATTATGGTGGAAATGGTTTCGTCTAATGGGTGAAAATTTAGTGAACAATTTGCCTGATTGAACAAAATGCATAATGTGTTGAGTGAATGCTTACAGAATAGCTTCTATCGAAAATCCTATAAAACGCAACATCCACAGTATCTATAAAATGCATCATGGACAAGTCCTTATGTTGATCTGGAAAACAAAACTTTTGTTGATTGATGCATTCGAAAATAGTTATAGACTATTGTGGGACACCCACTCCCACATTACACATTTTTTTAACAAGATTGACTAATTAAAATTGTAAAATCCATGGATTGTATTGCGTTTAAAAAGGTCTGGAGATATACAAAGATCATTTCACTTTTTTTTGCAAATTATTATTTACTGTTTATTTTTTAAATATTCATGTGAACACAGTTTAAATGAGAACTAAAAACCATCAAGTGTTAAAATTTTCATTTCAATTAGAATAACATAAACACTTACCTATTAATAATATCAACTTTCATTTTATGTAGCTTATCTAAGGCATTACGTTCGCCTTGTACCTTGGAACATTTCGTAGTCAGTTCTTTGATTTGCACATCAATATTCGCCTGATCTTTCCTAAGCATTTGTAATTCTTCGCAAACATTCGTATGCTGTGACGCAAGTTGACTTTGTTGTTTTTTTTCTAAATTTTATAAAAGTTAATAAATTCAAATATAAATTTATTTGTGAATTAAAACTCACGTTCTTCAATTTCGATTTTAAGTGCTTTATTCTCCTCTTTCAAAGCAATATTATCCTCTAATAAAGTGAAGAGATCAGTTTCGGGATCTTGTTCATTATAATCTGGTTCTCTCACACGGCTGCGACTTCGAGTTTTACCTTCCTGTGTACGAAATGTTGCAACAGGTATACGTCCACGACGTTCCATTTTTCTTTCTTAGCTTTTAGAGCTTTAATAATAAAGAGCTTTATACTAATAAAAATAAAGTGAGTAAAGAAACTCCTCTCCTAAATAGTTTAATAAAGACACAACTAAAATTGTTACCTTTTAGATGTGAAGGATTATTCATTAACAACAAGAAATCCATCAAGGACAATTCGTAGACCATTAATCAATTATTATTTTTAAAAGAAAATATAACAATAATAAAGTAAATCGTTCTATTAAATTCCATTTATAATAGATGAAGTTATGACACAATTTTAAATCATATAGTCGCTAATCATAGACTTTAAAATTAAGTGTATGATTATTAGAAATTAAATATGTAATAAATATGAATTATCAAGATTAATTATAAAAGTTTATTGACAAACTTTTCATGACATAATTAGGCAATGGGCACTATGATCAAATACTCTATCTTCACTATAGACCAACTTTTCACAACTTAAGTAGACAATTAAAGATCAATTCTTCAATGTTAAATAATAGTACAAGAATATGTAAGCTATGTGAATAATATATATCTTGCTGATTTCGAGAAAATCAATTTTTCTTCTCAATTTTCACGAGGAATGCAAGAAGTAATTAAATATTTTATGAATAAACAAAAATACATACATACATATGTATGTAATATGTTCATACAATAAATATATTTAAAAAAAAATTGTGAATATAAATTGCATGGTGTTGTTGGGTTCAAATGGATGCCCAGTAAAACGGATAGCTTCTACTACATACAGGAACTATAACCAAATTGGACAAAATCATATCCTTTTTTTATTAACAACAACGTTTTTAATCTCAACAGAGTAGCAACGAATATAAAAATTCTGGAAATACATTTAGTATATAAACGTAATGTTTCAATATTACTAATAATTATTTGGCAATAAAACTAATATAAAATAAATATTTTTTACTTGCTTTTATTTATTTTTTTTTTTCTTTATGTAGAAGAGATCATATTTTTAACATGATCTGCATAAATTTATAATTTTTGTCAAATACATTTTTTTCTTGAATTTTATTTAATAATTTAATTAATATTACTTCGTTTAATTGATTTAAATTACTATATTATATTTTTCAGTTTTATATATTTTATTTAAATAATTTCGTTTAATTATTTTAAGCTGCTTCTTAATATTAAAGTTTTTGTTTCACAGAAATTATAATTAATTTATTTAGTATTAATGTTTAGAAGCAGCACATGAATTTTTTTTTATGCACTCATGTATTAAATTTATCTTAAAAGTTTTTATTTTCTAAATTTTTATATTTATTTAAGTTTGTTTTTAACTTACTACATTCTTATTTGCGATATTAAATTTGTTT